CCCTGTACTGGAGTTTAAACAGCTATAAACTGATCATCAGCTGCTACTCAGAACTCACTTCACACTGTCAAACCATACTAATGACGTCCTAACAAAAGTAAGCATGCTCTAAATTTGCACTGAAGATAAAAAACAAAAATAATTCAGAAATACAATTGGATATATAAAATAATCTGCCTTCTGACACTTTTTAATAATGTAAGGCAATCTATTCCAAAGCAATCTATTTCAAAGTGTAGTTGGCAGGGGTTTTTTAATATTTTGGTTTATTTTTGTTTTTGTTACCAGCAGTTCAGGGCTTAAAATAGCAAAGTCAAACTGTGGGCATTTCGTTCCAATCCCTAAACTGGAGATAACTGCTTCCAGTGCAGAGCAAAAAGACTGCATGGCCAAACACGTTGCTGTTTTCTCTGACTTTAACCAGAAGATATTTGCAAAGTCATTCTCATTCTTGGATCACCACACTCTGCATAATGTAAGAATCCTTTTCTGTTATCAGCCACAAGGACTGTCTCCTACTAATATCATACTTGCAAATTAAATATATTAAAAATGGAGATAGCCCCCAGTAGCCCTCTTACAACATTTTCTGGTCTCTGCTAGGAATCCAATATTCAGCTGCATCGAAGTGTCTGATATCAAAGATATTTTCCCTTGTAGGAGGATGTTGCACATTAATAAAGCAAGATAGATTTGATGTGTGAATGTTGTTAAGGTTAAAAACTTTCAACTATCAGTAACTTGTTGCTTTGCCATGTAAAAAGTTTTCCTTCTCTTGAAAGGCCCTTAGGACGGGATACAAAATAACAATGGTGTAATAATCTTGTGTGTTGCAGGATGTTATCCAAGCAGAAATCTAGTGTTATGGCTGACAGCAACAAAAGTATTACACACTGATGTTAAATCATAAATTACGTTATAGGAAACATTCAGGCAAGACTGAGACAAATCCCATGTAACAGGTATAGGAAGCTGACTGACTACTGCATATTCATTAAATGATACCCAAACAAAGTAATCTGAAATAAAACAAGGCAAGGAATTGATTACCTTCCAGGTATGGTACTGAAAAGTTGGTGCTGATGTTATTAATCACCCTGCAGGTCATGACATTACTGCCACAAGGCTCATAGTGCCAGTCACACTCATTACGAGGGTTGTAGTAGTCACAAAATATCGCTGATGAGGAAAGGAAAAGAGAAGCTCTTTAAAACCGTGGTTGCCAGAATGCAGCTCTGAACAGGTGTTTAAAGATACGAGTCAAAGGTATCAATAAATGAATCCAGCAAAATCTAGTTTAAGCGATACAACATGGACCCTCTGCTTCTACACTTAAACACGGGGTTCATCAAAAGCTGCGTTCTGAACTCCAGGTTCAATATTTTAATATTAAACCCTCAAACTACAGGGTGAAAAGTTTAATTTAAATCAGAAAAAAAAATTAATTTAAAATTAAGAGTAAATTTCTGAGAGTATCTTCCTTCCCTAGCTACTAGTAAACTCTTAAAATCTCCTGCAGTATATCCAAAATAATTCTACCTTGCCATATGACATGAGCTGAGAGTCACCTCCAGCAGGGAAAGAATGAGCATGTGAGACAGCGTGAGTATAGCTTAAAACAAAATTCAGCTTAGATGACTAGGGACAGAGGAAGGGACTTTTTAAAATTCAGATATCAGAGCTGACTGAAACTTGTAACTTCTGTTTCACTGACTTCTTACTCTTAAAAACTATAATTAGTCTTAATTCTGAAACAGCATGATTTTACAAAATTAATTATTTTTACATTTCTGCCAGTTAGCATCTCAAAATTTTGATTTGAGTGCTTCTCGGGGAGATATTAATTTAAATAATATTTAACATTATTTTATGACATTCTGGTTTGAGCATTAACAGACTGCTTAATGTACTTAATACCGATTAGAAGAGTACTTCTATACACTTTTGCTAAAATTAGATTCTGAATAATCTGAAAAAACAAGAGAGAAGAATGATAACAGGAGTTGTAGTTCACCAATTACCCGGCAAAATGGAAGGATGACTTAAAATCTAATCGTAACAGAAAAGGGAAAAAAAGAATGAGGGGGCGGGAAAGAACAGGAAGGGAATTAAAAAAAATCCAGGCTGAATAAGGGATAATCAAAATATACAAATTTACGAGTTCTATTTGTTCCCTGATATGCTGCGAAAATAAATGGCATTGCGTAGCCAGCAATGGGTCTTGTGGTGATGGTGTTAATGATTTGTTTCATCAGCTTTCTGAGAGCAGCCCGAAAGGTGCCGCCGTATGTAACCGTTACTCACGGCAGATATCCGGAGTTCTCCAGAAAACACAGGCCTGGGCCTTGGTGCACTCCTGAGCATACGCAGCAACCGCAGAACAGAAGCACTCGCAGTCTCCGCCACTGTCGCAGGAGCAGGCGTCGTGGACACAAGCGTCATAGAAAGGTTTCGGGTCCACCTGGCGGGGAGAGAAATGATGCTCCAGTTCATCTCCAAATGAGTTTTCAGAGAGTAAATTTGAGCGATCTCTTGGGATCTGGGAATTGAGCCGGGCAGGAATGAAACTGCTTCTAAGAATTGCTTAAAGGATTTTGGATAATAAATTTTGGTCTTGCAGTAAAATAGTACCTTCATAATTCACTACGACTGAAAAATCAAAATAAGAATCCTTGGCAGTGACACGTTTTTTAACATAGTTCCATTTTATGGCTCTCAAATTTGACTGATGCCAATGAAGTTTTATTTTCTAGCAAGCTCTGCCAACCAAGTGGTGAGCAGCACCAGAAAAGCTGCACCTCACAGCAAACAGGAAGCAGAGAATTTTATGCTTCTCAGGTTTTGGGGTCCTATCGAATGACACATTAGGAAAATATTTCTATTTTTTTGGTCAAGATTGCAAGAGGAAAAAGTTAGACTGGATTTTAGCTGCTGAAGGAATCAATATAGAAACACATGTTACGTTGATTAACTTAATAACTCTGGCTGAGTTATATACTGGCTGAAATGTGCTGACACCTGTACCTCTACTGAAGACTTAACTGAAGATCACTCTTATTTAACCATCTTTTCATTCATTCCGGATAGTCTCTCAGGAACAGAAATAGACCGTGCTGCCCCATCACTTATCGCCCTTTACAAACCTTGGAGTGACAAATTTTAAAGACTTCGCTTTGGATAATGCTGCATTCTTTCTCTGCCCAGGACTTCCGATGTGGTTTCACATCACAGGGCTTAATCACTTCTGTGACATCTGAGCACATGGAAGACTGTTTCCAGGAGTTCCCAAAGGTCAGGGCATTAGTCTCTTGCACCCCGCTTCTTGTTGTAAAGTCGTTGTTAGACTTGTCATCGAAGTTGCCACAGAGACCACACACTTGGCCCTGGAAAACACAATTAACGTATTCACAGCTTTTAAATATACCAGGGAAGTGAGAAACAATCTCTAGTTTCTCATGTAAAGTAAGAGCAAATTGTTGCCATTAAAAAGAACAACTGACTCTCCATGTAAATGACATATTTTCACCTTTACTTCCAAATTATCTGTACAGAAATTGAACCTTTATTTGTCTGTGTGCTCAGCAACTATCCATCTGCTGCTCCTTCCTCCCTCCTCAAAAGCAGTTGTATCTAGTGTATTTCCATGTCTCTGTGGTAGCCCTTCATCCAACTTGTAACACTAAAGACTGGCTAAGCCTCTTTCAGCTGGGAATTAATTTATTGTCCTTCTCAGTGTCCAGCTCTGTACACTGCTTGGGGAGCTTGGTTTTAACTCAGGGCTGAGATCACACACAGGTTTCCAAGTGCACGTACAGTCAGTTTGCATCCCCTAAACTAATTCAGGGGCTTGGCTTCTGATATTCACAAACTCAGAGTGCCTCAAACATTTAGCTTTAGTGCAATCATATGCTCTATTTCCTCTGCAATGCAGGTAAGGGCTCTAAGGAACTCTGGTAGCACCGCGCAAGCTGTCATAGCGGTAACGCAAGGTCATCATCAAGGTGATGATACAGGAGTTAAACGGCATAAAAGAACATTTATGTTTCCTTGTATCATTTATCTACTCATACCACTACTGCAGAAAAGGATAGAGAAGTCCTGACCTTGTAATCGGGGCTCAGTTTGATGAAAACAGTAGTCTTTTTATCCCAGATAAGCATCACACCGTTGCTAGCCTCAATCACGAGGTAGAGCCCTACTGTCCTGTTCCAGTAGCGCACATCTTCACCAATATCGCGCTGAATTTCTTTATAATCTTTGTTCTCCAATTTCAGTTCGGTTTTCTGAAAGATAAAAAGAGAAAGATTGTAACACTTATTTTTATGATGCTTTTAACAACACAATTCATGCTGGAACCAATAGCTCAGAGTCTGGGATGACTTTCCAAGACGACAGGAAGTGGTGCAGCATGTTTGTTTGAGACATGTTTCAATACCTGGCAAGCTAAACCTTAACAGATTAATTTAATAGACCCTCTAACCTCTACTTGTTCTGGCTCCTTTTAGGCGTGTGGCTTTACTTTTTTTTAAAAAATACTTGAATACTGCTATATACTCACTGAGTATCATTACTCACCCCTAGAAACATTTTAATAGCCTTTGAGCAGGTGACTCCTGTAGTTCCACAAAGGACATTCTCTGTGATGATACTGAACGAGCCACCGGAACTTTTGTTACCACAAAAATCCTATCGAAAAAAGAAAAAATGAGCATAAGAAAATGAATGAGCCAGAATATTATATTTTTAGTTTCATCTCACAATAATTACAATCATTTTAAATCTCCACAATGTACAAAACATTACAGCTGCTTCATATGTGAAATATTACATATATATATTTTTACAGGCACATGAACATATGCACACACATCTCTGCAGAGAGATATGTGTGAGAAAACCCGGGAAACAGGGCGGGGACAATAAAACAAAGAGGACCATATTTTTAAATATAAATGGTTTTTGTCTGTAAAATTAGAATTTTAATTTATTTCACAACTGACAGTGGGCTCTTATATTCATTATAACACAGTCCTGTTACATACAATTTATGATCTGTCTAAGGAAAAAAAAACACGTCACATTCACACAGCTTGCCTGCACTGAAAATACAGAATTTGTCCCAGCAGAACAGGGATGGGAGGCAGTAAGTAATGACAAAAGCAAAGAGGAAAGCAGATCTACAAGGCAGTTGGGTGCTATTTCAGCCCCTCCTGTCGAGCATTACCTGAGTAGCCACGTATTCACAACTCCCATCAAAGTCATAGAATTTTCCATCAAAGGTGATATAATGGCCACTTCCGTATATCGTACAGGTCCCATAGCACATGTGTTCAGTGCAGCTCCAAACCCCTTTTTTGCAGGTACTGGAAGAAAGCAGGAGGGTTAAACTATCAGATCGCACCAAGAGCATGCGGTTTGAAAAACTGCAGAACAACCCAAATCTGATAGCATTTATATTTAAAAAAAAAGGTGCGCTTTCCCAGTAAGAGATGCCTATTGAAAACAGCTGTTACCCCAAAATTTTCAGCACAAACAGTATTTCCTCAAACAGCAAAAAGTATATCTGAAAATAAATGTTTATACCTGCAGCTATGGCAGCCACTGTACCTAAGCCTATGCATGACTACTAATTTACTGCAGGGAATATATTCTAGAGGAGAGTAAAATATTATAATTTACCAGGTGTTGCAGTCCACAGTTATCTTCTCTCCAGGATGATACCACTGGTTGTTATGAACGCACGGGCAGTTCTGCTCCTCAACACAGCCTCCTCTCCCATCGTCAAACAGACCTTCAGGACACACACAGCCCGAGGTACACTCTGTCTGGAACTAATGAATGTGACAAGAAATCATTACTTTATGAGAAGGCATTTTAATTCCTTTTCTTCATAAGCATTCTGGTAAAAAAATCAGCTTAATATCAATTAGCTTTATAAAGTTTTTCTTTCTAGGTTTCTAACATTTTTCTTTTCTTTTTTTGATAGTCTAAGAACCCAAATTGTATTTCACTTGGGAAGTACGACTCCACTGAAGACACAGTGAAAAGAAGAAAGAGAGGGAAACCACGAGGGGTTTCATTGTCATGAAACTGGCAGCAGAGCAACATCATTCGGGAGAAAAGAAAATTAAACAAAAAGAAATACACAATTAGATACGTTTGCATTTTCTGTGGTGCCTGTGTCGTTTAAAGAATATAGAATAAAAGAAACATGACATGGAGAAAAACTGAATACGTACGTGATCACTTTGAAGGGTATGACAGCTATATTGTATTGGTGTTTGCGAATCCCAGTCTGGGAATGCGTCGCAGTCAAAGTACTTCTTGTTAGGAGGACATTCGGTTGTGTCTGAAAGGTACGGTGATGATTTAGATGTAGTAAGAAAAGTCAAAAGAAGCAGGAGGGAAAGGCTGTAGTGACTGAGACAGAAATCTCAGAGTATATCTATGTTTACGGAAAAAAAAAAAGGCTCAGCGAAGACAGAACGAAGCGACAGCGTGCAACTGTTTTACATAAAAGGAAACAACCAAAGCAAATATGTGGGGAACGTACTGAAAATGTACATTTGAGTTTGAAGGTCGGTTTGTGGGGTTTATTTTATTTTACTTCATAGAACATCACTTACTGCTTGTTCCTACTGTCACTGAAGTACACTGGACCTTCGCATTTCGGCAAACACTAGAAAAGAAGTAGAAATTTCTAAAAAATTAGGCTTGGTGTCTGCAATTTAAATCTAAGGATTTGCTTATTTGAGAGCATTTATCAGAGGCATCCTGTATAATTTCTACTGATATTTCAAGGTGACCTCTGCTGAAATGAATTTTCACTTGGAGAAAAAGTACAGCAAGATTTTAAGCATGAGGCACTGCAAGGTTAGATTTTAAGGAATGACAGCTGTCCTATTAATCCTTAATACTATGCTTCTTGATGGCTCAGGAAACAGAAAATAGTGAAACAGACAATGACAGTTTAAATCAAAGCCTTCATTTGGATACACAGTATATTTTCATGCCTATTGAACTCATACATTGCAAATTTTTGTGTGTGCTTCCTCTGCTGGATGGGAGAAGGAAGTCTTTCAGTTTGCACTGACAATTCATGCAGCAAACACTTGTCAGAGTTCATGACAAAAAAATACCAGAAACTTGAAAGCTGCTTCCAAAAGCCTCTGCTACGGTAAATACATGTACCAAGGGGACCTTTCCTCAGCAGAAAACACAAGCAGTCTGTCTCTGATAGGAAAGGAAACAGCAACATAACAGTATAACTGGCCTTTTATCTTCATTTTACCCCTCTGCTCGACAAAGCCCTATGAAAGATGCAGCTTCAGTGTAATGTTCACCTCTGAAGGCTGGTACTCACAGCTCCAGAAAAGCTGCACTTCTCAATTATTAATAAATGACACTGCAACAGGATGACATTTTGGTCAGCAAATGCAAAATGCATTACAAATGTTCATTAAAACACAGAAAAAGCTGAACAGCTTAGACCTAATAAGCAATTTTTCAAAGGGCTTTTATCCCCAGCAAACAAGCCACAGTAAAATGTACCAACGTTCTCCGTCTTTCGTGACGTACTGCCCCGGTTCCAGGTACGACCCCTTGTAGTAACACGGGCACTCGGAGATGGGCACACAGGTATCGTGGTTATCCAGGTAGGTGTTGTACGGGCAGCCACAGCCATCCACAGGAGCAAAGTCTTGTGGGCAGTGCTTTTCGCCATCAGCAAGGGAACGACACGTTTGCTGGCACATTGTAAGGTTGTAAAGGAAGATTTGATTTCCTGGGCAGGCAGACTCTTCTCTACCTAGAGGGAAAAGAAACAAATTGATGAATAAAGGATGCAGCGTGGTCAGTTTGACACTTCCATGCAGCCTGTAATGGTTAAAAAAAAAAACTCTCATAGGTTTTATTTAAGCACAAAAGTATCTTAAGTCACAAGTAATGCTAGCCTAACTTTTTACCAGCTGGAGACTTCTTTTTATCTGCTGCTAAGTTTCTACTTTCATATTTGTATTTGTTTCACAAACTGAAAATCAGAGAGAACAATATAATAAATAAACTCGTAGTCTCATCATTACTGTACTGTTGATGAAAAGCAAACAGAATGAGAAACAAAGACACTGATAAGCAAAAACAATGTAAAAGCCACAATGGTTGCGATTCCATTAGTCAGAGAAAAAAACTTATTTGAACTGGGGAAAGAAGGTGAAAATTAAAAATATTGCTTTCTACTTTTAAATATGCTATGTACAAATGACAGCTAAAGAATGTAACATAAATGAATACACATTATTAATGTTATCTCATGGCTAATGAATTCCACTGGGATTGCAGTTCCACTACTTACTGCAGATACTTTTTCTCCAGCCTCCCAGTATGATCCCTTTGAACGCACAGGCTCTTGAGTAAGAGGACAAGGCAGCACACAGGCATTCTTCATTGTCGTCGCAGAGGCAGGTGTCATATTTACATTTCTGAAACAAGACCGAAAGGGCCAGTAAGTCCACAGGAAAGCAAGAGGCAATTGCAAATTTATCTATTCCTTCAGCAGCGTTCCATGATAGTCTTATCACAGGAGAAACTTGGGGTGCGTATTGTGCTGCCTCAGGTAATCACTGCAAAAACTTTACCAGCTCTTACAGGCAAGCTACTCGGTAATATGTCAAATGTTTGAACAATGATAAATGTTGGTAGTCGTGCATTTAAAATAAAACAGTACTAAAAAAGAGCGCAAGATTACGATACCTTATAGTATTCTGAAGGATCGATGACTGAGTGACATCTTGCAAAAGGTCCCTCGGAGTTTTTCAGCAAAGAACACCAATGCTCAGCGTAATTTGCTGCAAAAAAAATGAGAAAAATTGAATTATATCATTATATTCACTCACCTTCCCTGTGCCATGTCTAGTTATGTTGTCACATAAATGCAACAGTACGAATGAGAGAACTGTGCACTTTGGGGTGTGGAGAAACTACAGGCAGTCTCTGTGCCTGTATTTCTGTTCCCTGATTCAGTTATCTAGCAGTAGACACACAATCATAAAATCAAAAATCATATCTTGCTGCAGCAGCTCATCTACAAGGAATTGTGACAGTCCTTTCCACTGGGGAACCATACAGCTAAATGAAACATTGGGATAAATAATACTAGGAAATACAAGCTGCCTTTGCAGATAATGTGAATTTATGACCTTTGCTTCCCCATCTTCCATTTCAGGGCTCCTCCACAATCACCCCCTAAACTTTCAGCTGATGGGAAATCAGCACTCAGATGTATAGAGAACTGCAGAAATTAGTAATTAACTTCACAATTCTCTAACAAACCCTTCAGTGCCTCACTACAACATCTACAAGCCCATTGCAGTAAAATACAGCAAATGCTGCTCATTCTGGCAGAAACCATCCAACTTAGCAGCGTGCTTACCGCTTTCAATGCTGAGACTGCAGGGGTCTTCCAGCTTTTCTGCCTGGTCCGCACAGGTGGACTGAGCTTTCCACGTGTTAGCGAAGGCAGATCCTGTAGCTTCTACCAGCCCGCTGGTGGTTTTAAAGTCATCGCCTTCCATCCCGTTAAAGTTTCCACAAAGACCTATTGAAAAGGCGAAAATTTTACCTTATTATTACCTGTTGTCATACTAAAAGATCAGAGGGAAAGGGACAACTCATCACAAACATAAGAAACAGAAGTTCATACTTCATTCAATATTAATGCATACTGTAAGATTTAAGAGCCCAATTATAAATCTTTAATCTCTTGAGAATAGTCTTCATGAAGATATCTCTAACTCAGGAGATCACTGCCCTAATCTGTATTTTTTATGCTTTCTAGTGATACTAAAATCACAAAACACACCTAGTTTTGTGGATAGTTAAAAATCAAACTGAATACAAATGTGAGGAATATTCTAAGAAACGTCCATGTACTAGCATCAGAGTGATAGGTCACTTCAATATGAAGCAATAAAAATTCATTTCTAATTCGAGTTAATGCTCTTCCAACATTTTGGCTTTTGCTTCTAGTTTCCTTCTTTTGAATCAATAAGTAACAAAATTATCACTCATCTAAAGAATGACCCTTCAGCTGTGGAACAGTGTGGCTTTGCTTCCCATTTGAATAGACACTTGCCTTGAACTTTTCCTTGAACTGATTGATCCACGGTCGCAAACAGCTGCATGACTGGAACCAATTGGATCTGCAGCTGAATCCCAAAGGATGTTTGTACAATAAGGTAGTAGGAAGATGGCTTGAATATTGAGAAGCTGGCTGAAAAACAAAACACAAACTGTGCAGTAAACACACATGCAGGCTGCTGAAGGAAACATTTATTAGATTCTAAGGTATCGCCTGCTATGAAAACTCTGAGATCAGGATCAAATTAACCATTACTTTTCCTCTAAAGGCCACTGGTCAACTAGATACAATGTTGGTCCTCACTAACCAGCCTGAACCTCACCATGACTGAGAGACAGGACATGCCCACATCATGCAGCCAGACTTGGCAAGCATTAAACACCTGCCTTTATAGACAGGTTAAATTACCTGCTATAAATTCAAGCCATGGCAATTCCTCTTTTCCAAGCTACACACCCAAGTACATTCAAAATGTATGACAAAAGCAAAGGGACAATTTTTCACTCATTCACTGCATACAGTCAGTCTGTCCATGAAATCCTCAGTGATGCCTATTAAACCACATTCATCTCCAAGTTGTTTCAAAGTCTGAACAAATTTCAGATGTCTCTCCTGCTTCTGCCTCTGAAAACATCCCCCTCAACAACAGAAGTCGGGTGTGTGACGCATGACACACAAGGCTACGTCCCTTACCTGACACGTGAGGCACGTTCACAGCCATGTCATTCAGTAGCACGCTGCCGTCTGACCTGAAAACCACCACCTGTAGAAGAGCACACAGAAACTGTGAGGCTCCAGGTACTGAGAGGAAAAGGAACTAAAAAAAAGTCCAAAAAAGTAAGGAGGGGAGACATTTTGCACTGTAACTAGAACTTAAAATCTTTGCGAGGAAGCATCTGTTTGAAAAGTGAACGTGGCAGCAGACGTGTAGGGTACAAGTAAGGTTTTGTCTTGCTGTTCGGTGTTTCGCTTACACCTGCCTGCAACAATTTATAGTGTTAACGAAACACAGAACTCGTTTGTTTCGGGCACTTTGGTTTCAGCAAGTACAAGAAAATATTTGGCCTTCAGGATCTTTAGCCAGTTCCTGTTCCCTGTAAAAGCATGTGCCACCACTCCAGTATGATTCTAACATGGTAAACAAGCAGTTTGTTAAAACTTCCTCATAAAATACCAGTCTGTGCACATAGAAACATAAAATGAGGGATTTTTGATTTGTTTTCATTTTGTTCCAGTTATGCTGTCAAGAATATGGAAGACCATAAACGAAGGAGAAATATTACATGTACATGTATATAAAATAATGCATAAATATAGTCCAGAAATTCCTATAACCATGCAGAATATTGAAGTGAATGAAAAATTAAATATTTAAGGAAAGTTGCAATGTATCAACATTTGAAGGTGGGATATCTTCTGAAAAAGACTCAATTAGGTTGTAAACCTTTATCTGAATAAAGTAAAATACTGTGAAGCAAGGAAGAATGGTACTCTTACTTCCAGCCAGTCTGGAATACAGTGAGGACAATTGTACAGCACAAAGAAGGGAAGATAGGAAAATGACAGCTTATTTGAATCTCATCTTTTGTTCAGTTTGGGTCTACTTTTGAGTTCTCGAGGCAGAAGCTTGAGTTGTTTTTCAGCCTGTCTGAGGTGTCTCATCTATTCACAACAGTGACCCCAGAAGAATTAGTTATTTCTCCCCAGGAAAGGAAATATGCTAATTTTCTGCATATCTAGCAAAACCCACAGAACACTCACATTTTTTTTGTGATCTACTAACAGCACAACAGTCTTCAAACAGGTCTGCCTGTCTGTGGAGCCACAGGGAGTCAGCTCTGCCAGGAGAGCATGACTGTCATTTACAGTTCCCTGAAATAAGGGAAAAAAATGTCCGTTAGTCCAATCCAAAATCTCACAAGAACATTTCCAGAACAAAGGCTGAAGTAATCAGTTATATTAACAACTACTATAGAACTTAGCTATGAAGACCACCATTTCAGCACTGGCTCTGGAAGCTGAACCACTTCTTTCCAGCAAACTCCATCATACTGTTTCTACTTCAACAAGATCTTTGACATCCTCTAGCAGAAGGAGAACCAGATATTTCAGGGACAGATGAAAGAAATAGCTCCCTAGCTCCCTTTCCTGGCTGACTTTGACACTCAGACGCAGAAACAGCTATTACAGATCTGGCTGAGAGTTTCTAATCCTGGGAACAGCTGATATTTACAGTCTGCCTCTCCAGGCAGACAGAGTGCTCCTTTGATTTCTTATATGTGAAGGCTCCACTGATAATAGCAGCACACACATTGCAGTAACTGCCCAACTGCCCTTAGGGCTGTTAGAGCCCATTCTGATTTTTCCAGTCCAGCTTTTAGCATTTCTGCTTCCCTCATCCTGTCAAAATGGAATAAAACAACACTTCACAGCTGTTACACATCAGCACACGGACACTTACATTCACTCTGCAAGAGGAAAGCCCTACAGCGCACAGTACCTTGGCCAACACGTAGTAACAGTCTCCATGGAAGGTGTATTTCTTCCCATCGAAGGTGGTAATATGGGAACCTCCTTCCACGGAACATGTGCCTGGACAGGGCAAGTCCTTGCACGTCCATCTGCCTGAAGCACAGGTGCTACGAACAGATAAATGATTAAAAAAAATGTTTATAGATATCATAGGAACTCAGGGCACTGAAAGCATCTGTATACCTGGCAAAAAGCAAGATATCACCAGGTGTTTTAAAACTGAATTTGAACATTTCCTTAAGGTTTCCCCTCTACTGATAAATGCAGACCCACTTACAATCACTCAAAGAAAGGTGTTTAAACAATGATGATCCTCACCATTCTTCACATTCATTGGTAATGCTTTCTCCTGGTGAATACTCCTCTCCATGGAGTTTGCAGTGGCACTGGCTGGCAGGGATGCAGCCTTTTTCGGTAATATCATCATACACGGTTCCTGTAAAGCACAACAGTAAACTATTCCAGTTCTTCCTGAAGTAAGTAATTTCGACAGAGGAGAAACTCTTAGAGGAGGTGTGCTCTCAGCTCAACACAGAAAGCAGAGGCTTAGATGATCAAAACTGTGAAGAATACTGTTTCTATTTTTTGTAGCATGACATACATCCAGCTTGGAAAATCTGTTCATTTATGTAACTATACACACACAAAAAGTTCAAAATAAGTATACAAGAATGATACATGTTTAGGTTTTCAGTCTTTCTGACATACTCTGCAGACTATCAATGGAATCTTTTTTCCTAAGGTTGACAGGAAGTCTGAGAATATCACTCATTGTCCCTCCTATCACTCTCTGGGAAAATTATGTTCATTGTCTCAGAATTATTCAACCTAAATCTCATGATTTTCTATATATTAGCAGAAGCGTATCTGTTGACAAGTTAAAAACAGATATAATACCTCTCATTGTGTTAATGTTCTAACTATAAAATTGTTGACTAATCAATTATGACTTAATAAAAAAAACCCCACCTCCTAGCAGTACTAATTTTTAAGACGTAATTTGCCTACATTTTGTATTTTGGCTAGGACATCCTTAGTCAAAGCTCTTGGTTTTGTTCCCTATTAAATAGTCAGAAGAACACTTGCCTTCAGGGCAGAAACAACCGTCCATGTAGTGTTCCTCACAAAGGCTGCTGATCTCCAAGTGGGAGCAAGTATCCATGCAGGGCGAGCTGCTTTCTCTATAGATCATGGTATCAGGACAGGTCTTGGCTGAAAGAATGAGAAAGGCACCACCAGTTATTTGAGTGTAAAGTCCATCATTCCTCAGAAATCACAGATCATATCCCCTCCACTCCACCTGATAAAATATCTTTGTCCTTTTCTGAACTGTTTTCTCTGCTTTTTATATTTTTGGTCTCAAATAGATAAAAACATCCCAGGGAACTGCAGGACCAGGCTTCACATTTTTTTAGTGGGAACAGAGAAAAAGCTTTTTTTTTAATAAAAAATCACAGTAGTTTATTGCACTGTTGGTATGAAATATATAATATATGCCTAGACTTGTGTGAAGAAGGAATGAATTTAAATGTTTCACAGTCGTGCATCCATGAATATTTATTTCTTTGTAGAAGTATAGCTGCTTACGGCAAAAGCTCTGTGTCCTCCATTCACCCGGCCGGCCACCCGCATGCGAACACTGACGAGAATACTCGGAGATGGTGCTGCAGAGGCAGAAGGAGTCCTCACTTCCATGACAGGCACACTTGTCCTGCATGCATCCTTGGATGTACATTTCCAAATTAAGGCGTGACTGACAATCAGCAAATGCGGACGAAGTCAGCAGCCTCTCACACTCATCACGCTAAGGAGGAAGAGTAACAATATTTAAGATATTTGTAATCACCTGAGCTTCCAGACACTTCCTGTCTTGTCATAAACAGCTATTGTATTCTGAACGGCAACAGTTTTTCCAGAAAGGAAGAAGAAACCATTTGCCCTGGAAGGGACAAATTCTTCCCAGTTCCTCACACACTAACTCCTGGTAGCAAAGGGATGTCTCCACGTGCCCGTGCAAGTGAAGTTCACCACCAGGAATACTCACATGCTTGTTGCAGCTTGGCAGAGCCTGAGTTTCATCAGGATCTTCACATTTGGCATTAGGTTTGCTGATCTTCTGTAAATTCCCAAACGTGATTGCATTGTAGCTTGTAACTGTGAGGAAAAAAAAAAAAAAATTACAAAGAGGACTTGCTGAAACCCCCAGAACTGACAAGGAACATCTGATTCCTGGCACTCTACTGATCAAGGGAAACAGTTACTGTTGCATCAAATGTGCCAGTTAGACAAAGGTCTCTTCTTCGGATTATGTCTATTGTATCTAACTGTGCCTAAAAATTTGAAGTGGTAACAAGAATAGAAGGCCAGTAGAAAAAGGAACAAGATGACTCATGTTGAATAAAATAAGACCAGGAATGCAGACCTGGAACATGATGTTTATTCTGAAGCAATCACAGAAATCTCTCAGGTGACATTTGCTCTCCGGTGATGGTCCTATGTACAATGCCTGACTCACCTCCATCAATAAACTCATTGTAGATTTGAACTCCATTGTAATCCCCACAGAGACCACAGGTATAGTTATTAAACTTGCTGTCCAGCTCCACCTAGGTAATGGGGAAAAAAAAAAAAAGAAGTATGGAGCGTGAAGACATCCCAAGCAAATATGTCTACTCAGAAGTTGCTAAATGACAGAAGTGATGATGAACTCAAAACTCTTAGAGAAGCAGCTATTGCAAATGGATTTGTAACGAAGTGATGATGAACTCAAAACTCTTAGAGAAGTAGCTATTTGCAAATGGATTTGTAACACAGTTTAAACACACAGTTAGATTCAAAAAGTTAATATAGAGAACCAAAAGAGGTGACTGAAGCTCCTGTATTTCAGTAATTGCAGCAGCCACTATGGTGATAAACATGACAAGGGAAACATTCTTAAAATCATAGGAATTTTTCTTCTCCTTTTTATCCCTACTGGGAGAATATTTAAGTCTTGCTATAAACTAGGAAAGTCAATGGTGGCAGTCCTGTAAAAGATAAATGAAGGAAAATGCAGATTGTGGGTTGCAGGGGTACTATATCAAGAATCATTAGCTATTTCTCAGAAAGCTCCAGAAAGATCATCTCCATGCCATACCACTGCCTTTATCACACTGCTGAGAAAAGAACTTTTTGTTTTTAAAATCAGATACCATGAGTATCAGTTGGATAACATATCAGCTTTGTACAGTTCGGGAGATTCTACTTGTGTCCAGCAGTCTGTTAAACCCTGGAAATACCATTAAAAATTGACTTGGATCATACATACCATCAGCGCATCTTCCTGATTCCATATCAAAGTCAGGCCTAATTTGGCATAAACCTTGGTGTAAATGTCATTGCTCTCAATGAGCACACCAGAGCTGTAGTAAGGTGTCTTCACACTAGGAAGAAAATCAGAGATTTTCCATTAGTACAGATACATTAGAGGTGACATGAATGTCTGTAATAACCTAAACATCCTAACGAACAGATAAACCACTCTCTGTCTACGTGATCCTAGTGGCACAGGGTGCCTTGTTTTAAGCAGCCATAAAATCCTCTCTCGCTGACACTTGATGCAATAACGCATTGGCAAAGTAATTTCAGAGGCAGAGCTCCCCTGAGGGTAGCACTTCTTTAAGAAAAAAGCCAAGATGTCAGATGTCTTCAACTTAATTGAGGGAAAATCCATCATCACTGTGGTATTACAGAAGAGGTTCAAACACTCGCTAATAATTCAATGAAAGAAGGAGCCTAAAGAGCTAGAGCCTGTTCAAACAGAAGTAGTGTAAACTGGAATCCAGTGAAAATAACCAGTTCCTTTTCTACAGACTTGCCAATATAATTGTTACCTGTCACGTGGATCAGGCACCAAAAGGAAAATTGGTACGTATTTCTACTCTACAGTTCTCACTTCAGTAGCATGAAACACTATTTTACAAGGCAATGGATCACAAGCCATTCAAAGAGCATTATGGGAAATTAAGTTCTACAGAAAACTAAATCCCCCACGCAGCAGAAACCTGTTCAGCAGCAATCTGTTGTTATGTGAATGCCACCCAAGAATAAAAAGAGGCTTGGTTTAACAAAAACAATTTTTAAAGGCTTTTCAAACGTGTTTTTCATGGAGTTGTTTTTAAGACCTGAGTCCACAATAAAGTTTTCTTTTTTTCAATTTGGGGCAAGAATGCATTTTTTTATAACTTCATGTCATTTTGTTATGCATTCTGGTATGATCCTTGGAAAATTGAATGCTATTTTCTGTCTTTGAATGGATTTTTATTACAGTAGCTTCTAAACTTCAGAGCAAAAAGCTCAATTCTGGACAAAATCCAGTCCTACAATGACAATGGAAAGGATTTATTTTTTAAAAAATTATGCTTAGACATAGTAACAGCCAGTTTCTTCTGTCTTCAGAGCTATTTTTTAACCTGTGAGTTGTTTCACTTGTTTCAGTGTGTGGATATACACATACTGGAAGGACAGGCTAACGATAGGAAAGATGAGGTTAAGACGCTACTCGACACCAGCATTGGTGTCAGACTAGTTCCATGTTACAGGAGGAAAGAAATGCTACAGCTCGCTGCAAAAAAAGTACATCTTGCCACATATAAACCACTGTAAATTTTGACCTGCATTATAGCTGTTACAGTGCCTTGAGGAATGGCCATGGGTCCTTAAAGAGTTACTTGTGAAGATAGAAGAAACCACCTCTCTTCTTTCACAAAATAAAAGACCCTAGAGAAATGTATCTTCATTTCTGAGGCTTTACTAGACCATCTGCTAAGGTAAACTCAAGGTGATGCCATAAAACAAATGAAACTATGGAATTTTATGCTGGTGGAAGATCTGGCTCATGAGCTGCAAATGTTTCCTGTGCTCAGACTCCTTCCTGCCTTGCATTTAAATCATCCCGTATGCCAGTGGAGAAACGATGATTAACACTAAAGCCCCTCCCCAAAGCAATTTTTATGCTGAATTCAAAGAGGGGTTTTTTTCACTTGTGGAAATGCTTGTAGCAGTTACCTTAACAGCATACAGACAGATGTTAAAGAATCAATCCTGCTTTTTATCTTCCTAGCACATTTCCCTGAAATACTCTTCTACTAAAGGAACTTACAGCCGTCCATCCACCACAGCCACTTTTGGTCTGAGGTACACCGTGAAGTCTTTGATTGTGAGCAGGATGTAGTGGATCTCGGGGTGGTTATTGCTGTTCAGAGCGCGCTGAATGTGGACAGAGAACTCCTTGTAAGACTCGCGGCAGTCAGAAGCAAAATTGTACTCGCAAACGCCGGGGAATTGATAGATGTCTCCATCAAAAGTTTTGAAATGGTTGTTGCCCCAAGTGCTGCAGACAGAGTGGCCATGGTTTCTTGTCCTTACTGTTAAGTGAGGAAAAAGAATTAGGCGTGAAAAATGTGAAATGAACGAGGTAGCATCAAAAAAATGTAAGTGCTGCATTTTGCACTTGTAATCATGTGCACAGTGATGCCACAGGTCTTAAGCCTGGTCAAGTCTGCTATTAAGCAGAAGAGATGTGAATCTCCAATGGAAAATAAAGCATTTACAAATACTGCTGATATCTGGATATATAGAGTAAATGAGAGTTTTTACAGAATGATTGTTGTCCTTAATGACAAAATGAGCTTTGTCCAATGTTAGGATGTTCACTTCTGAAGAAAGTATTTATGTTATTCCAGAATAACAGAAGGCACAATCATCTACTTTCTTCACTGCTGTAACAATGAACCTCCCAAATCCCTCTAGTTTTTTCTGCTGAGTAGTTGCTGTACTTAGAAAAGTCTAAACACATAGAAAGAAAAGAAACACTGAAAATATTTTTCAGTCACATCAAACTAGAGAATAATGCAGTAGATATAGGTGCTAATCTCTCCAAAGAAAGCAAGCAGTATTTACCTAGCTTGGCTCAGCCAAGTGGCCTCAGTATTTGCAAGTTTAAGAAACTTAAGGCACCTTCAAACTCCAGAGCGTTATGTAAATGCACAGCCTCCTTCTACCCTTGCAGTGGTATTTTAATTCTTTCCCTCTTTTCCAGGACGCAATCCGCTACCATTTCATTTCTAGAGCTTACCTTTTCTTATTTCGTTCGCATAGGCGAGAGCCAGCCCGAGCACGAAAAGGCTGGCAACTCGTAGCCCCATGGTGGCTAAGGTGGGTGAACTGGGAACTCCAACTGAAAACTTTTCTTTATATAACATCCCCTGATGCAATTGATTCTATCTCAGAGGAGGAGATACAAAGGGAGGTGGAAAGAGGAGGGGTAAAAAAATAGGCGTTCTGTTTGCAGAAGATAAGAGGTAAACAGACAGGTATTTTTCACCATAAATGAAGGAATTCAGTATACAGGAAATGGTATAATATTGATTCAGTAATCATGCAATTTTTTATTGCTCTGCTTCAGATACAGGATGCTAGGCTTTTAAATCCTACAAATGCTCACGGCAAGCTTAACCTTCTGTAACTCCTACACCAAACAGTGAATTTTGGAGGGGTTGAACAAAGAAATCCCTTGAAGGAAGTTTAGGATGAGATACCCTCAAACAATGTCTTCAAAGCCAAAGAGTTTTTCATTTTGCACCATCAGAGAATAATTTTTCTAAAAACTAAACAGTGCTTGTGAAGCCCCTTGTAGATAACAGTAACCCTTACAAATAAAAATCATATGTCATGTATTTTAAAATTATTTTGTATGCAACTGCTGCATTCCTTTCATTTGTAAAATAAAAGCTATCGCCCATACTGCATATTGTGCCCAAACACAATCAAGATGGGGTGACAGGGTATGTTCAAGAGATGTTGTATTGAATTCTATCACGTTGCAAGAGGAAGTCCATCAAAAAGGTTGTAGCAACTCTCATAACATATTAAGCTTTAAGGAAAAAAAAAAAAGAAAAAAAAAGGCAAAAACATCACTGTCCAGGCTGAATAAGAATTGTTATCCCCTTAATCAGACTTAATCCCCCAAAAGTTCTTGCTTACCTTCTACCCGAAGGAAGAATTTACAGTCTGCTGTCCCAAATCAGATCCTCCAAAAGGAGGATCAGCTTGGCTTTGTGCAGAGAAAAGTGAAGAGGGTCCTTGGGAGAAGAAGAAAGTAGAAAACAGAACCAGGAACCAGTTCAGAAATACAAGACTTCCACATACACTGTATTTTACTCTGAAAAGTTCCTTTGAGAAGGTGTTTCTGCAACTCTCTTCAGAAAACACAACACAGGCTCCTTGAAGTAAAATACGCTTATTTCAACCGATCTTTTAAGCCAGCTGCTTCATAGCACTAAGAGAGTTTACTTCTTAACGTTCCCAGGCCAGGATCTGCATTTTCTCATCAAAACTTTCTCAATGCAGTGTCTAGATATCTCTAATCCTCTTAACAGTTCAGAGGGTTCCTTCCTTTCACTGCTCAGATTACAAGTGGAACTTTTTTATTCTGTAAAACACCAAGCAGACTCTTTGCTTAGCCCTTCTGGCTGCTCTAGTCAACTAAAACCACTCTTTTATCCTGAAGGCACAGTCTTCAGCTGCCATTCTCTTTCATTTGGTATTTTCATTTCAAGTACAGCCTAGCCTCAGCCCAAACATCTTCGGGTTTTCCCTCAACACATCTCAAAGGGTTTTAGACCTTCTGCTTTTCCTATTTGAGGACACAGATTTCCACTTCTCTCACCTTTACGTAGGGTATCATTCACTGAACGGTCATGACTGAAATTAAGTAGTCACTTTTTTCTCCTTTGGGAGAATTGATTTTCCTTCTTGGAAAATAAGGATTGTGATAACCAGTCAGAACAAACCCTTCTGAGAAAAAGAAATGCTCTCTACAGAGTCCTTTCCCTAAGAGTTACTCAATAGCAGTACTACTCACAACACCTCAGAGACATCTGCCATCTTTAAACTTTCTGTCTTTCATGCCACCAAAACTCTTAGTTCAGAAATGTTTTCCATAAGTACTTAGGAGGTTCGCAAAGGGCTTTATTTTGAGCTTCTGGTTTCCCCCCTGTGTTTTCTCCTGTGTGGAACCACTTTGTTCCATAGTCTCCATGATTAAATTCATACAAAGTCTTTGCAAACTGTAACAGCAGCTCCACATGCACAGCAGACCTGACCCCTTTTCAGATTAAATTGGATGTGTGTGCTCGCAAGTGTAAGTTGGAAACATGCATATTTTCCATTCAGGTTTCCTTGCCACAAAACTTCTAGATCTGGAACTGGCCTCGTTCATTTGCTGGGGCTGTGAAAGGTAACCATCCTTCACCTAAAGTCGGCTCAGTTCAACAGGCTGGTGCTTTTCTCCTACACAAGCGAGAGATGCACCTTTCTTTGGGTGCTATGGAGAGGGCTAATCCCTTGAAGAGCTACTTTTAGCCAAGCACCACCACGTTTTAGTGACTGATTTTCTCTGCTCCAGCTCTGGCCTGCTGGTACAGGGAGCATGATTCCTTCTTGGACTATGGAGTTAAAACAGGGTTATTTTCCATCTTCAGACTTTTGTTCTCAGAGTGTCCAACAACTCCACACTGTCCTTTCTTCTGACATACAGAAGCTGTGGCTGTCTGTGACATCCCAAACTGGAGAATAAGGGAAAGCATTTGAGCCTTGAGACCACTCTTAGAGAATCTGCACTCAAGCTCACGTGGCTGTGCTGAGCTGAGACGTGAGTATAGATCCTTATCGTCACAATTCGTAAGTATCTGTACTTTTGCCAGCACTAGTAACTGTTCTAAGCTATACCAATCTCCATTTCCTTATTGTCAGAAGGGTAACGATCCTGCCTACCAGCTGCTTTATATGCCTTTCAGAAATAAACCTTCTTTGAGGTAAGCATCATGACCGGTTGTATTTCATGCTCAGCTACGTTACAGCTTAATGTATTGTGCATTTTAATCCAGAAAAATCTTATTCTTAATGCATTTACGTTTAATCCATGTGTATGCATTGATTTATTTACTATAAATTGCTTGACAACCCGAGGTAATCAATCCATTCTGGAACAAAAATTCCTGCTTTAGTATTCGCATCTTTGCGTTAATCTTGCATCACTTCTCTGTATCTGAGTGGACCTGTCTGTGGAACTTCATGCCATCCCTTGCTTCTGGCGTCAGAAGCGGTTTTCCTCTTTCCAATAACAGGTGTTCATTTGCCTTTAATACCAATGATACTTCTTTTAATGCTGCACACACATCAATGCTCTCCCAGCAGGGACACAACTACTGAAACCATATGGGTGAAAAATATCACCTTGCAAGTGGTATCACCAGAACATGAGATGAGAAGGAATGTTTTCGTATTTAGGTCCCACTGCTGAGTCTTAACAGAGATTTTTTAAACGTTCCTGAAGTCTATGAGCAGAAACACAAGTTCCCACAATCTTTTGCTATGTGCCTGACCTAAGAGTCTCAACACCAGTGCTACAGCAACCAATGCTAAAATTTAAGGTTGGGGGGGAAAAAAAATAAATAAAAAATAGAGCTTATTGCATGGCAAGTGTTTGTTGTAGCAGCAGACGCAGAAGGAGAGATAAAAAAATATGTTTTGAGTCACAGCTGTGTCAATGCATCGTTTCCCTGCCCTTATCTTTTATGAGACTATTTCTAATCATTCCATCAGCCCAGCTAACTTTTAAAGTTCATACTAATTACAGTGTAAACTTATTCTGCAGTAGACTTTCTGCTAAAAAAAGAATTTACAGAGAGTATCTTCATTCTGACTTGCACTGCAGAAGAAGATGGCACATACAGAAAATTTACACTAAAGATAAAATTAAGCAGAGACTTGGCTAGGCTTACTGTTTTAGGAAGAAAAAATAAATTTTCCAGAATGTGGAGTCTGTTTCTGTGTGTTAACATATCAAGAGAAAATCTCACTGCAGTCTTGTCACAGCAATCCCAGGATGACCACTGCACAAATACCTCAGGTTATACCCAGTGACTGCTTTTTTTTCCAGATGTGTTTTTGTATTCTGATTTGCTGCTGATCACAAGCTGTCCAGCCAAACTGCAATGTTCTAGCAATGCCCTTGCTCTACAGAAGGAACCACAGGATTTTGTTCTGCTGCTCTTCCACCTGCCTGCACTTCAGCAGAGCACACAAAGCCTCCCGCATGACTGCACGGTACTCACGTCGCTCCCTTTATCTCAAGCACAGAAACGGGTTGTATGAACTCCCCGGCAGCTGTTCTAAAATAGCTCTGGCAAACCAGAGGCAGATTATGAGTTAAGAGGTGCCTGACACACAATCATTCTACTTTCTTGCCCAAGACAGCAGTAAGCACTCTACAGCACGCCTTGAGCACAGAGAGGAGCAGCAGAGAGCTGAACTGGGCATGGAACAGCGCTGAAGTGGTGATGCAGATGTAATGGGGATGCATTTCCTTTTGCTAAGCATGATGTCAGAATATTTACCTAAAATTCTCAAAACAAAAGGTAATTAGATAGATTCACAACTGGTATAAAATCACTGAAATGATTGATTTACAGGGTTTGTGTTATTAAAGAATTAGAAACATAAACCACTGCTAAAACCAATTAACTGCTCCCTCAGACTTTTTAACATGGAGTCACCTGTTATTATTTTTACAAAAAGAACTTTAATACATAGAATGCCCATTTAATTGTATTCAACAGCCAAGCTTTCATTTAAGGAAATGTTAAGAAACCCGCACACTTCAGGTTGATGCTCTATCCCGTCTGGAGATGGGCTAATATCGTGCAATTAATTATCCTATCATTTTACCCCAAGGTATTTGATTTCTTAGTGAACTAATCTCAGCTGTACCACTAATTTCATTGTTGTGACCTTGAGCAAATCTCTGGGCTACTGGCATTCTCTTTTATTCAAACAAACGCAATAGTGTAACGTATCTGCTGGTGCTAGCTGGATCTGGCATTCTCACATGCCCTTCCTTAAATGGTTTGCCATAGAAATTTTTAGATTAGCATCCATTTTCCACTCCTAATACTTCCTTCTTTTTGTCAGTAGTTCATACTCTAAGGTTGCAAAATATTTTTCTCTTCCAGTTAAGTAACAATGGGGATAACCATGCGACACACAATTGCCGACGAATAGAAATAGATGTAGTAATAACTTCAGCTAGTACATCACACTCTCCATGGAGTTTACTTATCAAGGAGAAGTTACAGAGAGTTAA